GAATATTGAATTATGTCTCGGTGATTAATTCTTATAGCAATCCATTGATCTCAATCCATGCCCAAACCCCATTCTACCTCCAAATCTTTGTTTTGGATATTCAAGATTTATTATTTGCCTATAGAAATTCAACATCCTGGCATGAATGTTAAGTGTTAATTGTTAATATTCACTAAAAGAGAAGGAAGTGTAGAATTTATTAACCAAGACACCAACATTCCAGTTGATGCTCCCAAAGTTGTTGCTAAAATTATTGACAAATCCGTATTTGTTAAAGTTTCTATTTCTCAATGTGTCTGTATGCTCGTTTTTACAAAATTGAAGTCTTTGAGGGTTCAAGTGGATGTATGTAATTAGGAATAATGCTGGTTGGTCAAGGTGATCGACAGAAATTTGAGTGATAGGATAGGGTGGCAATAATTGATTGGGTGTCGTATATTTTTTTTTTCCCTTTCAAATTGTCCAATCATGTATTGACACGTATTTTTCTGCTTTTAAATGTGCCATTGAGCCTGTAACAAGGTTATATAGTCATTTTGCAAAATGTCCCGTTTTCGAAAATACATTTTCAAAAATAGACCAAACATATTTTCAGCACAATACAAAACTGAAAAAAAATTGAAAACAGCAAGTCAAATGCACCCTAAATCTTTGAGAATAATTGTCACACAAGCCAGGTGAATTGGTCCAATCATGCATGCTAGACAATCTAGTCGACTTTTATGAAGATATCTACCAATCTTCATAAAATTTAACAATGAATTCATTGGTCGACTACCTCCTATCAGAATCAAGATCGTGGAATATCAACCATAATCAAAGTTAACCTTTAATTTTGATTTGCCTAACCATTCGTTAATTGTCCACCTCAATCCAGTCCACATCCTAATACAAATTAGTTGTTAATCAAAATGCAAAAGTTAGATTGAATTATTCTCTTTCACATGCAACTGTCAATCATAGGAATTATGCAATCAAATTTATTCCTTTCCTTTACTCTTTTTGACTAAACCCCATAATAAAAAAAAACTGCAAATGTGCATTGACAGCACAACATGATTGGATGCAAAAATTTGTCCAAGTCTAATTTAATGCAATCATTTTAACATTAATTGCACCAACAGTTCTATTCACAAAACGTTTATAATGCAGTGCGAATAGAGTGTGCGAAGTTTGATGTTCTTCGAGTATATCTTTGTGAACGATATTATAAATTAAAATTCAACTATTTTTGATAATAATTTGAAGTTCCATGACATAAATGATGTCACAAGTTGTGTACTTGATGATTCGAGTATAGTGGGACACAATTTGTGACGTGATCAAAATATATCGTTAGCAAATGTACATAAAGTTGGATGTTTTATATTGATAAGATTACATTGATCTTATTGAAATTTGTCCAAGTCTTGAAAATAAGCAATAATATGTTTGGTGCACATTGAACATGACCGCATGGATGACTTGTGACAGATAGAAATGAGACTTCACTCGATTATCGAATGCGTTACCTAAATCCTGAGCTAGTAATATACTTTTGATTGCTAGTTCAAGTTCTTTGAGAAGTCTTAATTGGAAGTTTGATTCGCAACTTTGAGAATTGGGGCAAAACAATTAGAGATCATACACTTGCAATAGATGAATTCGTTAATCATTACAATGAGATGATCATCACTCCAACGCATTCTCTATAGGCATTTAAACCTAAGTTCAATAGTGCGAGGATGAGATCGTGGACTCTATGTTGTCATTTATTCGCAACGGGTTTACCTTATGAAAATGGGTCTCGGAGGACTATATATGTTGGAAGGGCAAAACACTCATTTTACGAGTTTTGACATATGACGATCTGGAGATTGACTTGTGGAATGATGATTAGAGGATATTGTTGTTGGATTATGATTTGCTTCCATATTTGTCACTCAACTTAAGAGTGCAATTTCGACTCTTTGGTAGAATGAACCGAGAATAATAAATGTATCATAATTGATCAAGAGTTGACCCAATTAAAAATATCTATTGGAGCTCGAGTTTTGTGAGTCCAATTAGATCCGTCTCTCGACTATAATATACGCTGCATATAGCTTTTTTGTTGAAAAGTACACTTTTGAAAACTTAAGAGAAAAAAAATACCCCTTTTCAATTCAAATTCCTTAAAAAAAAAAAATGTTGTCTTTGTTAAGGGATAGAATCTCATATCGAATAAAGATGTAAAAAAAAATTGTTGTCTTTGTTAAGGGATAGAATCCCACATCGAATAAAGATGCAAACATAAACCAACTTATAAATGATTGAATTACTTCTCTTAACCCTAATTCTTAACATGGTATCAGAGCTCATTAAGCTCTAACGAACAATTCGATCCGATTAAGATTCCAAAAGTGAGCATACGGATTTCAAGATTGGTCTGTTCAAACGAGCCACCATCTTGTGGGGGCATGTTAAATGATAGAATCCCATATCGAATAAAGATATAAATATAAACCAACTTATAAAGGATTATTTTACTCATCTTAATAAGGTTGACCTTTTAATATGGAACATCAATTCTTAACAGTCTTCTCGTCTCTTTTCCTTCTCTTTCTTCACCCTTTGGTCTATTTTTAAGTATCCATGAATATTGAATTTTGTCTTGGTGATTAATTCTTATAGCAATCCATTGATCTCAATCCATGCCCAAAACCCATTCTACCTCCAAATCTTTGTTTTGGATATTCAAGATTTATTATTTGCCTACAGAAATTCAACATCCTGGCATGAATGTTAAGTGTTAAGTGTTAATATTCACTAAAAGAGAAAGAAGTGTAGAATTTATTAACCAAGACACCAACATTCTAGTTGATGCTCCCAAAGTTGTTGCTAAAATTATTGACAAATCCGTATTTGTTAAAGTCTCTATTTCTCGATGTGTCTGTATTCTCGTTTTTACAAAATTGAAGTCCTCGAGGGTTCAAACGGATGTATGTAATTATGAATAATGCTGGTTGGTCAAGGTGATTGACAGAAATTTGGGTGATAGGATAGGGTGGCAATAATTGATTGGGTGTCGTATTTTTTTTCTTTCAAATTGTCCAATCATGTATTGACACGTATTTTCCTGCTTTTAAATGTGACATTGAGCCTGTAACAAGGTTATATAATTATTGTGAGTTGTTTGATAATTTTCCTCTTAGAAAAGGAAACTGTATTTATGATGGGACAACATATAAATATTCCTCTTTGTATTTGGTGATTTTTGCTTAGAAAAACAATGTGATGGCTATGGAAATGGATCTAGAAAATATGGTATTCGATTGTTTTCAATCTATTCTAAAGTGAGGCAATATGTTTCTTTTTTATTTAGAATAATTTCATTTACAAAATAACCTAATTGTGTCTAGAAAAAGTGTGTGGTTAGTATTTTTCCGAGATTCTCGATTAGTTCGTTATATGATTTTGCTGGTTTCAGTGATGATGTAAAACAATTATTTGAAGAATCATTTAGATTTGAATACTTCATTTTTATAATTGATCAAACTTATCTCCTAAAAAAATCGATTTGAACAATTTAAACAATATGAAGAGACATTTATATTTTTGTTTAATTTAGAGAGGTTAAGGCGCGCAATTTTTTTCAATTTGGTTAAGTTTTGTATGAATCTTAAAAAGTATTTGAAACATAATGGACGCTTGAACATTAATGGAAATGATTTATGTTTAAAGTTACATGTCTTGAGATACTATATATCAAGTGAAACAACGAGAGAAATTGAAGCACTAAAATATATTAAGACATTGAATAGTTGTTTTCAAATGCTTATATTGTTTACAAAATTTTGCTAACCATATCGATTACAATTGTATCTGCTGAAAGAAGTTTCTCAAAATTAAAGTTGATCAAGACTCATATCTAATCAACTATATCACAAGAAAGACTGAATGAATTGACTATGTTATCAATTGAGAAAGAAATGGTGGAACGACTAGATTATTTAAATTTAATTAATATTTTTGCCTACAAAATCGTAAATTGAATAGTATTTAACTCATCGTTTGGAATATTGTCGGTTTCATTATTTGATTATAATATAAATCTTTTATAATATAATGATTTTGCTGGTGAGACAATATATTTATTTCTAATTATAATATTTTCATTTACAAAATAATATAAATGTATGTAGAAAAAGTGTGTGGTTAATATTTTTCTGAGATCTTCGATTAGCTCACGATATGATTTTTCTGGTTTCTAGTGATGATGTAAAGCAATGATCTGAAGAATCTTTTAGAGTTAATACTTCCTTTTTAGAATTGATCAAGCTATATCTTCTCCAAAAAAAAACAAAAAACCTCAATTTGAACAATATGAAGAGACATTTGAATTCTTGTTTAATTTGAAAAGATTAAGGCATGCAACTTTTTCCAGTTTGTTGAAGTCTTGTATGAATTATAAAAAGTATCTGAAAAACAATGGGCTTTCAAACGTTAATGGAGATGATTTATGTTTAAAGTGCATGTCTTGATATGCTACATACCAAGTGAAGCAACGAGAGTAATTTGAGTGCTTCAATATTTGAAGACGTTGAATATTTGTTTTCCAAATATTTATATTGTTTATAAAACTCTGCTAATCATACCGATTACAGTTGTATTTGTAGAAAAAAGTTTCTCCAAATTAAAGTTGATTAATATTTATATCCGTTCAACTATGCTACAAAAAAGATTTAATGGATTGCAACATCTAAAAAATACATTAATAAAAAGTGAATAAAAACAATAAATATTTTTTTTTTGAAAAAACTAAAAAGTAAAATAAAGAGTATTATTTTCGGAGACTTTTTATGGTGGCATTTTTAGATTTTAAATGCCTCAATTAGCACTAATACACGCAAACATGTTTCAATTAAAAATTCATAATTAATACATTCCCATAAATGAAGCTACATGAATGATTTGACAAGTTTATTACCGACAACCAAAAAAGATGTAAAAATAACAAAATTTGGATTATTTATCACGGATTATTGATCACGGCGGTGGCTACGGCCTTTACTACCCTCCGCCGCCGCCGGCTCATGTGAATAGCATACTTGACTGTTGAATTTACACCCAAATATTTTCTTGAGGGACGTCCTCCGCTGCCCGCCTCTCTCCACCGTCGCAGGCGGACCTATCTTATCAATGGTCCTTCTCATGGCCGAGCACTCTCTCTCCAATTGGTTCACTCGCGTCCTCATGCTATCCATGTCCTGCTTCAGCACCTGATTCTCCTGCACCACCGCCCTCCACGGCCTGCTCCCCTCCTGTTCATGGGCCATCGCAATCAACTCGTCATCCTCCTCCTCTCCTCCTCCAGTAGGACCGGCTTCAGCTGCTAGATGAGTGCCGCCAATGGCATGCCGCAGCTGAAGCTGCTCAAAAAAAAGTACCTGAACCACTGCTCTAAGCGGAAGCCGCTCATTTTGGGCGGCATGAGTGCATGCCTCTAATGTCAGCTTCTGGCAATCCAAAATTCCACATATTTTTTCCCTTTCTGCCTCCATTGTCAATGGATGTGCCTGCACAAATAACAGATTCAAGAGATTTCACAAAGGATGCATGTTTAGTCGAAATGTACTAGATTCCCAGGCAAGGTAAAACCCAACTCAGCTCGATTCTTATGATATGTTTGGTAGGGAGTAGGGACGGATGAATAGTATATTAGTATTAGACAAGATATAGAGATTTAAATTTTATGTATCTATGTTTGTGAATTTGAGAACAAATGTACCTTAAGGTAAACATCAACGGCCCTATAAAGACCATCATCGAATAGTCTGGCATACTCCGGCAGGGAAACAGCAAGCTGACAGAATTTTTCCGGCTGCAAATTAACATCAGAAGCAATTTCTGACAAGTACCCATCAATCAATTTGCCAACCAGCATTAATGCTGTTGATCGGAAGTTACTATTCTCGTCTTCAACTTCAATTCTGTTTAAGGATCTCTCTTCTAATCCTTGTAGAAAGTGTCCTAAAATTCTCTCAACACAATCAACATCGTATAATGTTTCATTCAAGTATGAAAAACTTGGAATAAGAAGATCATCCAAAGTTGCTTCTTCCAATTGCCATCCAATTTTCTTCTCCAATGCTGCCCGACAAGCCTCCGAAGCCTTCAATATATTGGCTGTTCGTAGTAATCCAAATAAAGATCGAGTCTTAACTGAAGATGAGATTGCGGTTTTCTGTAATGGAAAATTAGAAATTATTGTCTCCAGAATCTCCCTTTGCTCATCCTCGGACACCACCTTGGATGGCGATGTTGATGGCTTCCAGTTTGTACGCGAAATTCCAGGAATGTATTCCTTTGCGTAGGAAATCAAACAGGAATCAACGATTTCCGAGCTCAGATTCGAAGATTTCATCACAAAAATCAATCTTTTGAAAAGGGGTAAACTCAATAGCCCGAGCTTATCAAACCAAGAATCCTTTCCATTAGTACTTACTCTCTTCGAATTTTCTTCAACTCGACCACTCACAGGCCATCCAAATAGGGATGGATCTGAGAATTCAGCTCTAGAAGCAATCGCTTCAATGCATCTCTCAACAATCCTAAGATTTTCAGCTAAAGGCATTAGCTTTTCACAGGTTTTTAAGGCAATGACAGAATTTTTTATGTTTTTGAACACAAATTGAGTGAGAAATCTTTCGGTTTTGGAAATCAGGTTGTCCTCAGAATACTCTTCTGTCATTTCTAAGTATTCTCCGGCACAGCGAAGAGGGGCGGCGTTGGAGGCCGACAGATCAATTTTTTGGCCGTAACAGAATTTCGCGGCGGTTTCAAAGGATTCAGAGCCGCCCGGGAAATCTGGGAGTGTAATGTGGTAGTCATTTTCTTCTTCTTCTTCTTGGATATCTTTCTGGTCATTTTTCTGTTTTTTTACAGAGGCGTTTTGGATTCCAGTGCTTCTGAATTTTGGGTTCATCTCTTGCTCTGTTATCAGCTCGCAAAGCTTTCTACTTTTTGACATCAATGGAAACTGAAAATTCATTCAAAAAATTGTTGTAGTGAAAATTAGTGTTCTCAAAGATTCCATACAAAACAGAAAACTGACCTTGTGGAGATGAAAAGTCATGCCATCAACTTCGATTATAATATCACTCGGCAAATTTGTAGTGCAAAACCTGAATCAAATGCCCATCAAAATTCGTCATAGAAAATTAACAAACTAATCTCTGAATCTATGCAAAAATTGTAAGATCAAAATTTGAACTCACCATGCTTGGCCTTTGGAACTGGGTTTTTCAGAGGCCATTGTTCTGTAGTGAACAAGAGTTTACAGAAAACAGAGACTAGCCAGATCCATGAAAATAATGGGTTTTGACTGTATAAAAAGATGAATGGATTAGGTGAAAAAATAACTTCACTTTATTCAAAAAGAATAAGAAGTAGAATTTATGGAATGATAGTGCTTGTGGAGAATCAAACAAAAGTCTAAAAGGAGATTTTTTGAAGAGAGAGTTGGTAGAATAGATTGATCAGAAAGAAGAAACTGAAAATGGACAAATGGGCTTTTATGGGAGCAATTCCCTTTTTTTTTCTTGAATGAGTGGAATTGTACCCCATTCTTCCATAAATTAAAATGCAATGTGACATAGACTTTTACATGGATATGCATAGCTTACACTAGCATTACTCATTCATTTTACTTACACAGGAATATCAAAAGCTGTTTTTAAAATTAAGAAGTTAATTTTTGGTATATTGAATAATTTTTTAGGAGTGTTTCTTTTTAGGAAAATGTAACTTGTACACTCTCCCTTTGACATGATTGTTGACAATGTGTGTTGGCAAATGTTGATTGGGTGGAAAAAGTGTAAAAAAAATTAAACTGTTCAATGATGTGCTGATACGTGCCACAATATAAAAAATAATGTAAAATATAATGTATATGTAGCATGTTTGTTCTTTTTATAGAAGATAACTTAGTTAAAAGAAATTTAGAAAAAATGGATTCAATTTGATTTTCTTAAAAAGCCAAGAATCGAGAGTAAAAGTTGAAGCAGAAATTATCCCATATATATCCTAACCCAATTAATTTAAACTACTATAGTTTTTACATGATCGTTAAATCACAAAGGAATGTTGATATGGCACTTTATTTGATTGAAATTTTATTACAAGTTTGGTGACTAATCAACAATAAAAATGTACAAAGTAATTATGAATTTGAATATCGAGCTATTCACACAAGTGTTCACAAAAGTTAAAACACTAGTAGTAAAAGATCTTTCTAAATTAATTACAATTGATGTGATTACCGTTGTACCGAGTAGAGTGCTTACGATTGAAGCGTATGTGGGAAATTTATTGCCTCCTTTTGGTAAAATTTATAAAATATTTACAAATAGTCAAATTTCATTTTCATTCACATGTTTTAGTGGACGAGCGAGTACTATTAACTTATCAATCACTAAATTTTATCTATTTATAAATTAAATTGATTATAAATTCTTCTCAAATGTAGGCATTAAATTATTTTGGGATTTACTTATCTTTAGTTTACTGTCCAAATAAGTAAAATTTTCTATATAAGTTAAAAAAATAAAACATATTCATCCATATTTAAAGGAAAAAGGTTAATTAAAAGTGTGCAATCAAACATATTTACCCTTTGTCCCCTTCCTAATCAATTTCAATTTGAAAAACCAAACTTCCTACTAACAAAATCTGGAAATAAGTTTGTGATATCAGCAATAGGGGCATTAATCACGGACAAAGTCCACTTGTTGTTAACTATTAAATAGTCGGATTCGATTGAAATATGTTGAAATCAAATGAAAGATTTAGTAATAACTATAGTATACATGAAATGAAATGACAAAAATCTTCGGAAAAATTGCAGCCGCAATCCCAAATCTTTGCATTTTTTGTAGACTTTACCTCAACCTTCAATTTGTGTCACCAAGGTCCCAAAACTTTGAGAAATTCGCAGATGCAATCCAAAATGATGAAAAGCGTTAGTTCCACCATCAGTTGACCTCAAAAATGAAAAAAAAAAAAAAAAATTGACCAATTCAAACAGGGTATCTTCGTCCAATTCTATTTCCCCATTATTCACTGTACTAATCACTATTCGTTTATCTCATTTTTCAGGTCTTATATATTTTTCTCTCACTTCCATTTATCTTAGATTATTTTAGCATTAATATGAAGAGCAATGTCTGTAGATACAGTGATCCTGTGTAGATGAAGACCTCATGGACGAACTTGAACACGGGAAGAAGATTTCTCACTTGCCCACGACGTCGGATGTCGATGGATGTAACTTTTTTGATTGGTACAACCTTCTAATGTGCGACAGATCGAGGGAGATAATCCCGGAATTTCTACATATAGCAGGGAGATGGAAGTTGAACTAAACACCCTATGTGCAAGAAGTTTTTGTGAAATGAGTCTATGTAGAGATTTGAGTTAGGTTCGAGCTGAGATTTTTTTTTTTTTTTTGAAAGGTGGGTCTATGAGTTAGAAATCGAGTGTTGCCTATGGTCTTATAACTTATTTTCCATTGAATGATACATGTTATCATTCAACAGTGTTGCCCTTATTCTCATTTCTCACAGTTTCCCCCTGTGAGCAAATGCTTCAATATGATAGGAAAAATATGTTCTAAAACATGTTGTAGATGATGCATTGTAGGTCTAGAACGTTTTCAATTAGTCGTAGATAAAGACCCAAACCTTTTACTATGTCGCAGTGTAAGTCCCAAACATTTGTATTTAAATGCATAGAAAGCCCCAAATGTTTTAAATGATTTGCAGAGTAGGTCTCAAACTTTTTAAGGAGTTGAAGCGCATTTCTCAATCATTTACTTAAGTCAGAATATCTGTTTGACTGCTTTAGGTGTCAATTCCAAACCTGTTTCACTTCCGAAGCACCCGGAACACATTGATTCAACAATAATCACTAATTAAAGACAACCAAAACAATTTTTTCATTTGAATATTCACATTTTACATTATAATTCGTTTGTTTATCATAAAAAAGCAATTTCAATTGTGTTCTACCAAAGGTAATCATACAAAAAATTTCATCATACAAAAAGTTTGTTCAAAGTGATCATTATACAAAAGTTATGTTATTTTTTGTCCATTTTTTCTTCTTTGCCCGTGGCTCGGTAGGAGTAAAAGTATTTTCCTTGCCCTTGCCTTGTGATGAAATTGGGGTTGTATCCTGCTGTATAGAGGTCTTTCTCTTTCCTTTGCCTTGTGATTGAGTTGGTTGTGTATCCTATCGTGTATCTGCTTCGGAATATGTTCTATTGCTATGGCCTATCCCACAACATCTTTTACATATTATCTTCATTCCAGTCCTTACCATTTTGGTAAATGTAGATAGCTCTACTTGCGACATTTTTCTCAACTTCTTTGGTTTGCCTATTCGTTTATTCTTTATAGGTGGATTCAGAGGATATTTCCCCAGCTTTGGCCACAACTCAGGACCTGACATTGGTTGGATGACTGGGCTATAGACCTCAGGTAAGCTTCTTTGCTATGGCACACATCTACATACTTTTATATGCAAATGTTTCTCAATAGCATACCAGACATTGCATGAATACACGGAATTCCAGTAAGTTGCCATTTTCTACATGGAAATTCACGCTTAATCAGTCACACGTCATTCCATTCCATCCCTATTTCTCACCTCAAACTTTTCACTTTCAGCATAATCAGTCTGCAAAAACTTTGCATCTGCCTTTGCTTTCTCAACAACATTCATAACTCTAGGATCAAAAGCATGTTCCCATCTTTGTGCAACTTCCCTTTTGGCATTCATCCTCAATATTTGTTGATATGTTATCTTTTCAAGTATTGAGATAATAGACTTTTCTCTTACAATCAATAGGGAAGATGCTTCATACAAGTTATTCAGTATATCGTACTTTGAATAATCCTGAAAATGTGATTTGTTCTACTGTGATGCTGGTTTTTTATTGAACCACTTAACCGTTGCTTCATTCATATCTTTCATCTTATTCATTACACTTTTCCACTCCGCACTGTTGTTGCCCTTGCTGTAGTCTAAAACACGCTCTTCAGAGTTAGTCCCTTATGCACTAAGGTGAAATTTCTATATAAATGACTTGCACAACACCTATGCTCAGCACCCTCACATAACAGATATATGGAGTCTACAAAGCATTTCTGTTTGTTAGAAAATGAAGGTCCAAGTCTTGGTATTATATATCCCAATATCAAATATCAAAAGTTCTAAGAACCATTCCCAATTTGTTTTGTTCTCCACATCTACCATAATCCAAACTACAGGAAGAACGTAGTTATTTGCATCAATACCTATTGCAGCCAACAACTTCCTACCTTGTGCACTCTTTAGGAAATATCCATCCAAACCAATCACATTCTTATCCCCAACTCTAAAACCTTCTTTGCAAGCCCCCAAACATATGTATAGTCTTTTGAATGTATGACCCTGCCCTTTCAATCTTCACTGTACTCCCAGGATTAGTTCTTTTCAACTCCTCACCATAGTCCAACATGATCTTGTATTGTTCAACCACACTTCCATTCACAACTTCTGTCCATTTAGCTTTTACCTATAAAATTGATTCTTAGAGATCTCGTACATGCAATAATCCTTCACTGTTTTTATAAAACAATTAATAGACATTTTTGGATCGAATATGAACTTCCTTATATACTTTTGCCAAGTAACCAGCATGCACTGTTCTATTCTGCAACACCATTATACATGCATATATTTATCTCTAAATATATTAATCCTAAGACTTTTGTCTGGTTTCTGGTAGGCATACAAAACACATTGACAATTATCTTGACATTTGATTCATAATCCCTTTTTTCATTCTTTACATATCTGACATGCCTTATATTTTTAACTGAATAATGTACAACTGCATTCTTTAATAAATTTATATTGTCAAATTTCATGCCTACATGATTAAAACAAGGCTCAGTCTATTTGGATTTAAACAGTTTAGTTTTAAATGATATGAACATACAATAAACAAAAAATCACATTATTGTACCTATTTGAAATTTTGGATCTTTCATGTCTGTAGCAGAATTAAACCAAGGTTCAATCCTGGCTTTTGAAGAGCCACTAACTTCTTCGGTATCACTTGGAATGCTTCTAAGATCATCTGACTCATCATAGTATGTTCCATCGCCATCTATATGTCCTGCTACACCCTCATGTTCTACCTTCAATTTCCATCACCAATATCAAAACTCTTAGACAACCTGAAGAATATATCTTCATCGTGATCATCTA